TTTATTGAGATCCAAGAATGTTTATACATAATGTAAAGAGAACATTGATGGAAAGTGCGTCGAGTTTATTTATTGACGTCCTGTTGTAAATGATTAACCGAGAATATACAAAGACTGTAGTTTAAGACAACTTTTAACAGACATTAGAACCGTTTCTAGCTCATTATTATAGCCGGCCGATCTATTTTCAAATCGTTCGCTAAAATCACAACCCGGTTAAGTTCGAATTTTTCAGTTTTGAAGCACGCAATGCGAATATGTTTGTGGAATTAATGCATTGCATTATTCAAATGTTGGTAATTGCTCTATGTTTAGGGCATTTTCTCATACGATATTTCATTCGAATATTGGTTAAATCTAACCTGTTGCTCAAAAGATGCCTTGCGAAACGATTTGGAAATGATCTACGACGAGTGTGTAAATAATACGTAAGGAGCATTAATGTCGTTCGTGAATGTTACGAGTTTTTCTGTTGTAGACAGTTCTATTGTAAATTATAATCGAGAATTGCGTTTCATATGAGATATACTACTGAGTGATGACGACCGATAATATCAAGTTTTTGTCATGTGAGAATGTTATTTTGATAGGTGGCAGAGATTGATTCGTATTACATAAGTTCATTACAGGATGATTAAAAACTAATACACTGGCAGTAGTTTATTTACACTCTTTAAAACTCCTTCGTTAGGCCACTTGTTAATTGCGTGCTTCTGCGTTCGAACAATATCACATAAAAAGAGTATGATCGAATGACTGATGATATGAAGTAATTTGTTTTAATTTCTATGGGTGGTATTTCTCGAATGAAGAAACATCTTACCCTTTTGTGTTCAAGTTACCTTTTTCTTTTTGTTGGATAAAAATGCCATGAATTTCTTCATCTGGAATCACATCAAGAAACTATTCACATATACCTCTCACACACAAATTTATTTCAGGCTTGTGATACTTTCTATATTTGAATGTTAATGTATGCTATCACCTATTACAAGATGATCCAGGCAACTGGAACAGGTGACTCTGTGAAACATTGATTTTTAGCAGATGTTGGTCTCAAAAAGCTGTGTGCGATACATCATTTAAGTTGATTGTATCTCTTTTAATGTTCAACATTTCAAAGTCAAGATTTAATCTGTGTTATTGATACAGGACAAATGTCAACCTTGCATCAAAATACCTTCTCAATGTATAATGACTAGGCATTTTTAAAAGTTCAATTGTGTATCTGATTGCATTCTTATAGCAGGCTGCAGATATTCATCTGAAGATGATAACAGTCTTTAGCCTCTTAAGATGTAACAAAGATCTACCACACTTGGAATGTCCTTTCAATCATAATCAAAGTTTGCAAATCGAGTGTATTTGCAAACTTTGGTGAGATAAAGTATACAGTGTCAATTGAATAATGGAAGAACATTCCAAGGGACTGGATGAAATTTTGAAAAGCATTAGCTAGAGATAGAAGAGCTTGATGTATTGCATCACATTTCCAAAAACCAATTTTGCAACCACGTGGGCCACTCTGTACACGTATACTTAATTCCCACATGTTACTATTCTGTCAAACCACAAGAAGGAGAGGAGAATGTGTGAGGAGAAAGCATTTGTGAGTTACATAACAGGTTACCGTCCAATCGATGAATGAAATTGATGATGATGGTAGAGTGGTGGTGGTGATTATATGATGATAGTGATGATGATGAGGATGATGATGATGATGATGATGATGATGATGATGATGATGATGATGATGATGATGATGATGATGAGATGATGAGATGATGGTGATGAGGTTGAGGATGAGGATGAGGATGAATATGAGGATGGTGATGATGATGATGAGGGTGATGATGATGATGATGACTGGAAGTAGACGAGAGGCATGGAAGCGTCCGCTAAACTTCGACCACAGGTGACTACTGAACTTGAAATTATTTCTTACATAATATTCGGGTTTTTTGCGTCATCGAGATTCAAACACACAATCACGCAATGTCTTTAAATGTAAATGACGCTTCTAATTTTCTATAATACCGCTACTCTTTCAACACTCAATCGAACTATTACCCAATTTGTTGTTTGACTCCTCCAGTAATGTATCATGGCACTAATATTGTGATATTATAGCCTAACCTATGTGAAAATGGCATAAACTTATTGCAAATAATAATATCCTTCTAATTTTTTTTTCATTTTTGCTGTCAGACGAGTTATAATTGCCCTTTTATCTGCTTCTTTACAGTTATTGTCGGTCACTTTGTGTTTAATTTATTCATTCTTCAGAAATTATTCAATCATTTGTCTTGTAAAAATATTTTGAAGTGTTTGAGAACAGTCAAGTAATTCTTGGAGCTAACATAATTTTAACATCTCATACTACATGTACTTGAATGCAGCTAGCAAATAGAAAGAGGCAGATAATGTGACAAGACAGATGGAATTTCAGTCTGTTTTAATAATCATCTGTAAAAAAAAGAGACCCTCAGTAGCACTAAGCTATTAAATTTGTTTTTTTCTATTTTATATCTACAAACATCATTACTCTGTGCCCTAATGTGTGAATATGCACTAATCATTTTGTGATTCTGTTTAACAGTTCAGGTGAATGCATTATAGCCTATAAATCTGAGAGGGTTGATATTTTATGAATCATAAGTAAGAACCACGAAGAAGAGTGAAAGAAAATATAGACACTGATACGATAGAGAAAAAAGAACATGAAAATCGAAAATGAAAATTAAAACTGCACCACAATATACCTATGGGAAATGCATAGTGAGAGAATGTGCCATAACAGTTCAAACGTGTATCGTAAGTTCGTTTCATAATGCTTGATAATGTAGGGGAAATATTTATTCCTCTATTGTTTCTACTTACAGATATTACTTATCACTAAACGTGGTTAGTTGTTGTATGTTTCACCAATAACAGATAATGTGATTATCAAAGATAAGCAAACATTTTGAAGTGTCTTGATGGCAATTCAGAAACACTGAAAATTGCAAGGTGTCCAGCTTTACTTTATAATAATTAACTACATTTGAGTAAAGTGCATAAATTTATAACAATTATTTATGCGCAACGAAAACCACAAAAATTTCAAGTGTATTAGACATGTAAAATATATTTGTAATAAAATATGTTTATATTTAAATGAATCGAAATTGCCCTGTATCTTTTGACGTTCACTACCTAATTATAACAGAATATCAATTTTAATCAATTTTAATCAATTTTAATCAGTTTTTGAAAAGAATGAACAATAAGAGCTAAAGTTCAAATTTCTTAATGTAATATTTATGTCCTGGTATTATCATACGATTATTCAAGAATTTAATTTAAGTGCATTTAAGTAATGTATGTATAGCTTAAATAGGTAAACATTGAATGACCAGCAATAATTAATATATACTAGTTATATTGATATCAGAAAACAAATTTTAAATCAACTGTATGAGAGTATATAAAGTAGGTATAATAGTAATTTGGCGGAAAATACTGCTAATATCCAAAGCAAATATAATTGTGTGTTAACAATTAATAAATACAATGAATTATAATAAAAACAAGAATCGTTATATATTTCACAGAAAACTTTTATTCAATTAAAAGAGAAACCTTTACCCTTTATTATACAAAGTACCGAATCATTCTATATACGTTGTACTTAAATACAATGTATAATAATAAGTGTTGGCGATAATATCATAACAAAATGTATTTTCGTTCAAGTGGATAAAGTTAAAATAATATGAAGAGAGAATGAATAATTAGTATGCTCTTTGTAATTTTCCCTCGACGGATATTTATTGTTATTTAAAGGTTAATATTTTGAACGTTAAGTTTCCTTTGTCTCTTGCTTAAGTTTTGAATTGCAGAATGATATTTAAATACTTGGAAATAAAAAAAAAAATACAGTCGGCCGCATAAGTATTCGTCCACCTACCGCACTCAGTGTATGCATAGGTAAAAGTAGGAAAATATGCAGAGAAAATATGCGAATAAAAAAGATCTTTATTCAAAAAATTTGAAAAAAGAAATGCAGAAATGAAGCTTAATTTATACAAAATAAGATGACATTTTGCGGGATTCATAATTGTTATACATAATGAAAAATTAAACGATGTATCATAATGTGGCGGGAAACTCGAACGGCCGAACTTATGCGGCCGACTGTATATATAATTCAATTATCTAATATTTAGTTTGTCATTTATAAATAGATTGGGCTTAATTTTTTGTGGAACAAAAATATTTGTAATTTACGTTCAAACGATAATAGTATATCTACTTTAGATAACGAAATTGTTTTTTATACATTTGTACGTTCAAAACCATCACCACAGTAAAGGATAAATGTATTGGCTGGTTATGGCCATTCTTCCTCTATCGCTTTTTAACATCGACGAACCCTACCGAGCGAGACCTGCATATGTAGTGGTTCGGTTATACTGCCAAACGGTAAAAGTGGAATCGAAAAGCGACAGAGGAGAAATGGCCTTGACCGGCGAATACATTTAGCCCTTACTATACATTATTAATTGTGAAAAATAACGTGATCTAGCATAATTCAAATATGAAAATAAAAGGCCCAAGTCACAGATTTGAATTTTTTTTATTCAAACGTAAAACATTTTCCTTACATGAATAAGTAAATGTAAAGCGAATGAATTATGTATTACTTCTACATTCAACATTTCTTGTATGAGTATACATACATACATAGCGGGTATAAGAAATGCCTGCACACAGTCTTATTCTTAGTCTTATTCTCAAGTCAGACATTAACTTCTCGTTAGATTAAAGTATACCCAGAAAATAGAAAATTCAAATATCAAAAAATAGGACGGGGTGTGTAGATATTTTTTTCATTCGCTGTATATACGTATATTTACAATTTTCGTAAGCGTTTAATAAAGAATTCATCAGTACATGAATATGTAAAACAAAAATAAATTCTTGTACTTTGATCGGGTATCGGTGACGTGGAATAATAAATACAACGCAGCGTAACGCAAACGAAATCAACGGACGAGCGAAACCTGCCGTAGTGAAGTGGCTGCGGTACGTTACTGGCTTATCGATGTATATAGTTGATTCATCAGAAGCTTGCCCCACCACCTGTTCACTTTTGTGTGCGAGGTAAATGCAGAAGAGGCGAGTCCGTCGTGGTGAATGGTGAATTTTCAGTCTATCTGTAGCAACAGTAAGAATGGCGCCAGCATTGAGCAAATTCGCGAATAAACGCACGTTGGCTAGTGCTTGTGCATTGACCGCGTTATTATGGATCCTAAAAAGAAGAGGCAAGAAACAGGTCGTGAAATACAGGTAAATTGTCCCACAAGTGCATGTGTACATGTTTAACCGAGCTACCGTGATATATCCAACATTTATTTGTAGAAATGCCTGGCCTGCTAATGACATTCAGTATGTTATCAAGGAGGTAAAAAGGAAAAACTTGTAATAATTGGATGTATTGTTGGACAGTTAATTAATGGAATTGATGATTTTTCACAGGAAAAACCAAAAAGCCCAAAGGCTCATGTGAATGCAGCATTTTTGAGACAACTAAGAAAATTGCTCAAAATTGGCATACCATCAGTGGTGTCCACTGAATTTGGTTTTGTCCTTCTTATTGCCACTTCTCTCATAGCAAGATCTTTGTGTGACCTTTGGATGATAAATATAGGAACTTTGATTGAATCGTATGTAACATATTTTTTATCAGTGTTGATAAAATTATAGCTAGTCATGTAAAGAGTTGGTAAATTGTATGTTTTTATTTTAGATCAATTGTCAATATGGATGCACATCTGTTTAAAAAACGTTTGGTTAAGTTTATGGCTGTATTGCCATTGGTAAGTGGGCAAGTTTAATCTTAGATATATAGGTTGAAGTTAGTTTCGTAGGCTGCTAATTGAATCTTTCCATTCAGGCTGCCAAGCAGCTTTATTTTCTTACCAATTGGAAGAAATTATTGATATAATCTTCCATGGTTATATTTATTTAGATATCTGTTGTGAACAACGTACTGAAATATGGTATATATGAAATGAAGTTGAGGTTACGTACAAATATCACACAGGATTTATTGCAACAGTACCTAAAGTAAGTCAAATCCTTTGTATTAACAGAAGTAATTAGATTAAAACTCGAAACATAAACCATAAATAATGTCTTAACAAAATGCTCTAATATATTGCAGTAAGAAAAAATAATCATAAGCAATTGATAAAAAACAATTAATTGATATTTATTGTTTCTTGCAGAGGTTTTACCTACTACAAGATGAGTAATTTAGATAGCCGCATAGCGAATCCAGATCAACTTTTAAGCACTGATGTTGACAAATTTTGTGAAAGTTGTACAGACCTCTACAGCAATATTGCAAAACCCTCGTTGGATATTGTCATTTACGTTTATAGGCTTACAACTAATCTTGGTAGCAAAGTAAGTTTAATATTTTACATTAATATTAGTAATCCGTATATATATTATAATGTATATGGTACTTTATAGACGCCGCTATTTATGCTTTCTTATCTCGTTTTCGCCGGTACGATACTGACTCATCTTCGTAAACCCATTGGCCAAATGACAGTGAAAGAACAACGTCTCGAAGGCGAATATCGTCACATTAATTCTAGATTAATTACTAATTCCGAGGAAATTGCATTCTACCAAGGAAACAATAGGGAAAAATTAACTTTATTAGCCAGTTTTCACAAACTAGTGAGTCTATATTTATTATATGAGTCATTTTACAAAATTTTCAGTACACAATATTTAAAAAATATTTTTTGCAGGTAACACATTTGCGCAAGTGTCTGGAATTTAGAACATTCATAGGAATAATAGATAATTTTGTTGGCAAATGTAAGACATCATGTCCCATGTGCGAAATCATTTTTAATTATGGCTCTAATCTTTGATCAAATCTTTTCATTTCAGACATGGCAACGATAGTGGGTTTTTACGCCGTGAGTTTACCATTTCTCCAGAAGAACCATCCTATTCTCTCAGGGACTCCTGATCACAGATTCAAGAGTTATTACACTTATGGTCGCATGCTGGTGAAGCTAGCTGAGGCTATCGGCAGATTAGTCCTGGCTGGAAGGGAAATGACACGATTGGCTGGATTCACAGCAAGAGTGACAGAAATAAAAGTTGTCCTCGACGACCTGAACGCAGGAAAGTACGAGAGAACGATGGTTTCCGACTTCAAAGATGAACCTATTGGAAGCCCTGGCGAAGGAAAGATAGTCACGAAAGATAACGTTATACAATTCGATCGTGTGCCTCTGATAACTCCAAATGGAGATATTCTTATCAGAGAACTGTCGTTCGAAGTAAAATCTGGAATGAATGTGTTGGTATGTGGCCCGAACGGTTGTGGAAAGAGTTCTTTATTCAGAATTCTTGGAGAAGTAAGATTAACAATATTTCTTTAAGATTAACTAAGATTAACTATATGTTTATTTATCTTTGCATAGTTTTAATGATGAAAAATTATTGAAACAGTTATGGCCAGTTTGGAGCGGTATAATCACCAAACCTCCACGTGGAAAATTATTTTACATACCTCAGCGTCCTTACATGACACTAGGCACACTGAGAGATCAAATAATTTATCCTCACACGAAGGCAGAGATGATGAGACGTGGACAGATGACTGACGACGATCTGAAAAAATTGTTAAACCTAGTTCAATTAAGTCATTTGTTAGAAAGAGAGAATCTTACAAACAGCGAGGGACAGGGCTGGGATGTCGTGGCTGACTGGATGGACGTTCTGTCTGGTGGTGAAAAACAGCGCATAGCGGTACAGCATTTTCACGCATTACAAAAATTTGATACGTATTATGAATCGTATTGTGTAAGTTTAACTATATGTACCATTTTTTTTTTTTGCAGATGGCTCGACTTTTTTATCACAAACCACAGTTTGCGATTTTGGACGAGTGTACTAGCGCTGTTAGCGTTGATGTCGAGGATTCGATGTACTCATACTGTAGACAGGCAAATATCACTTTGTTTACAGTATCACATCGGCGATCCCTTTGGAAGCACCACGAGGTATCAAGGAATTAATATTTATTTTATATTTATTTATTTTATATATTTATTTGATTATTTTTATTTTTTTCTTTAGTATTATCTACATATGGACGGAAGAGGAAACTACGAATTCAAAGCCATCGAGCCGGACACGGAAGAGTTCGGATCGTGAATCTTTGTGTCCCTTGCACCAGATGATACTTGCCATAATGCAAGGGACAGGCATTTTAAGTTCAATTAATTCAAATAATGTAATGTACATCCGCAGTGTACAGCACCATGTATGTATTTTATGTATCTCTGTATTAGAAACGCACAGATCCACGAGTATTGTATTATTGTATACTGTATATTTTTATATACTGTATTTTTATATAATGTATATTTTTATATCGATGTCTTTTATAAGGTAACAGAAAGAAGACATTGGCGTACGCTGCAGTATATATATATACATGGTGCCCCACCTAAAGATAGCCACCTAAAGGTAGCCACCTAAATATCTCCTTTAATTGAGATGATTCAAAAAATATTTTGTATGCAATCTGAATGGTATCGAACGGCGAATACTCTGTAAAGAATATTTTTGTGCCAAGGTTATTTTTTTCGTTGTTTCCAAGGTCACCGATGTTTTTTTACATATAAATGGATATTCTTTTTCTTGCATATTATAAGTAACATTAAAATGCGTTCAGACATGTATAATGACATGTCCTTGAAGTGACCTTTGATTCCCAAAATTAAATATGAAATTTATTTTCATCGAGATCACAGAGCTAAGAAGCGACAGGTGAGAACTTGCGAATATAAGTAAACATGTTCTAGAGAAACAGACTGCTATTCAATTTGTAAGACATCTACCAGTTCTTTTTTTAGTTAAGTTATAAATGTTCAAAATGATGTCCCTCCATTGCTATGCATCGTTTGAAACGAACAACAATAGATTGCAATGATGGTTTCGATGGTTTCCTGATTTATGGCAGCAAAGGTACTAATTATTCTCTCCTTCGTATCCTCTGGCGTTGTAGCTTGTTCTTTATAAACATCTTACTTTAGTTTTTCACACAAGGAAAAGTCCATCGGGGTGATCTCGATGGAAATAAATTTTATATTTAATTTTAATTTTGAGAGTCAAAGGACACTTGAAGAACATGTCATTATACATGTCTAAATATATTTAAATATCAGCTATAATATTCAAGCGAAAAAATTATCCACTTATATGCAAAAAACATCGGTGATCTTGAAACCCCCGAAAAGAATGACCTTGACACAAAAACATTCTGTGCAAGGCATTTGTTGTTTCATACCATTCAAATTCAAAACATATTTTTTATATCATCACAATTGAAGGAGATACGTAGCTGGTTACCTTTAGGTGAGACACCCTGTGTATGTGTGTGTGTGTGTATAAAAATTCTTTTGAAAAAAAGAAATTATGTAATTTAAATGTTATTCGTATATCAGTACGCGTTCTTCCAGTACTGTTGAAAGAAGGGGGGAAAAGGATAGGGATATAATTTTCTTGGAAGTAAAATCCTTAAAACTGTCACTAAAGTAATGTATTTTTGATACTTAATAGTTTTTCAAGATTTCAACGTTACATCACTTCTAGCAGTAGTAAGGTTAAATCCTGTATCACGTACATTGCAATTTCTAATTACGTATGAATGTGTACACATGTACATATATGAAAGGAATTATAGAGGTTAAATAATTTTTCTATTCTAATGATAATAATCTTGTAATTCATTATGTGTAGATCACATTGAACATGCGTTGCCAGAACATATATTGGATTGCTGGACAATAATAAAGTGTAATAAAACTTATGGTGATAAAGTAACCCGGTTTAATTTTTTAAGGGTACCTTTCAAAGCTTAATTTCTATCTGGCTCGACATTACGTGAAAAATATATCATTTTTGCGGCAATACTTCACCATCAATGATACAACAAGAATGGTCATTTTGTACTGTTCAAATTGCGCGCGTTTAGTCACATGTATTGTGGCCGCTCGCTTTCGATCCGCCATGTTGGTTGACCGTTGATCGTCTCGGCCGGGTCCGGGAAGCTAGCAAGAGGTCCGGGCTTTGCCGTTCAGTTGCTAGTCGCTGGTCGCAGGGTTCGCGTAGCGGAGATATTGTTCGCTGACGCGTGTGTGTATGAAGGAGATAAGAATAAAGCGCAGAGCATTCGCGAGGGGGAACAAAGAAAAAACCAAAGAAACCATCGTGTCTCGAAGCATCAGTGTTTCCAGTGTGGTTCTATAACTGCGTATAAAAAGACGTCAAGTATTTCGATATATAAAATCAATTAACACATAGTGGGTCGTGTACATGTCCAAGGATCCCGATAATCTCTTCCAATAATCCCCCATCACCCCTCTGTGCGTCTCTCCATCCCTCTCTTCCTCTCTCTCCTTCACCTATCCCCGCCTATCTTCCATCCTCCTCGTTTCACCTAAATCGTTCCTCGTGGCGTGCGCGTTCCTGAAGGCACCAGGGTCGGACCTTCGACGACAGTGCGGTCGCACGACGCGGACGAACGCGTCTAAGACGCCGGGAGCACAGGTGCAGGTGCAAACGCGTGTCTATAGTCGGTTATACAGGGCCTGGGGGAACGTGGGTTGGAATACGGGCGTCACGGCAGAATGGACGGTAGCACGGGCCCGCCGTCGGACATGGCGGCGATGGGAAGTGAGAACGACGAAGGATCGAAACCTCAACGAGACAACGACCACCATTCCACGCAACCAGAATCGGAATATTGCGGTCAGAGCTCGATAAGAGCCGGTTCGGCCTCGCCGCTACCTACTACGACCGCTTCGTCCTCGTCTTTGTCCTCGTTGTCGGCGCAGTCGGGGTGTGGCTGCGTCGCCGCCGCTGCCGTCGCCGTCCTCGAACCAGACGAAATTACCATTAGCATCACACCGACCACCGGTGGACAGTTCGAACTGACCGTTGACCGTACAGACACCGTTGAGAATCTCAAGAAAATCATCTCGAAGCGGCTGAAAGTTGCAAAGGAACGCATTTGTTTACTACATCGCGAAAGGTTAGTAGTGTGCGTGTGTGTGCGTATTCATGTGATAATTAAGAATACGTGTTATCGTTGTTCGCTTGGGAGAATACGTGTGAATACCATTGGTATCATAAACAATCTACGAGACGGTTTAATGCCAATTCGGGTAAAAAAATGGGGGGATGTATCGAGTCATGTTTTTAAATTCGCCGATAAATTGATAATGCACCCCCCCCCTCCTCCTCCTCCTCCTCCTTTCATCTCCATTGGAAGGAAGAAAGGAAGAGCTCTCTGCTGGGTAGGTAAACGTGTGCGTTTGTAGCCGGCAAGGTAGGAGAAAAGGATGGAAAATAGAGACGACACAGCGATAAGAAAAAGAGAGAGTGGGCATATAATGGACGTAGGCGTCGTGGGGGCTGCCGCACGGACCGATCCTCCTTCGTGCGAGCACGCGGAGAGACATGGGGGAGAGGAAGGTTGGCATACCATAGACTTGGGAGTAGGTGGAAGTGGAGGTGGTGTGTAGTAGGTAGAATATCTCGGGAATCGCGTTTTCGTAAAGTGGAACGGTGACAGCCATCCGCAGTGAGAGGCAGAAGAGGAGAGAGAAACAGTTGGACGGAAAACACGACAGGCCCAACTATTCCCGTACGCAACACATCGCTGGAATTTTCTCTTTCTCTTCGACCTCTCCTCTGCATCCACGGTTTTACGTATTTCAATGGCTTGCGATGGACATTCGATTCCCTCTTCTTCTTTTTCTTCTGTTACAATTTTTTAACAACGATATGAAAACGGTGTTTGAAAAGTGATACATCCCGAATTTACGATAATTGTATCTCAAAAAAACCTTTAATTTCTCAAACATTGAAAACTTGAAATTTTAAATGTTTCAAATTCATTATTTTCGAATAAAACATATTTCTAATAAAAATCAACGTTTCTTGAAACGATTGCACTGGTAAGAGGTGACCATCCGTCGCTACTTGTTCTCTCGTGTCTGTTATTGCGTGTTTCAGGCGCAGGTAGCACACGCCAGTTCCTCACTACGTATTTAATGCGTGTGTCTCTCTCGTCCCTTGGCGTTTCGGTGAAGCGACACGTGCACACGCGGTGATCCGTTCGCTGTGTGCGTCCTGTTTCCTCTATTTCGTTTCATCGCTCCTTAGACGCATGCGTATCGCATTAAATGCAGACCTATGGACCGACGATTCTAATTCGTCTTTGCGTTATTTTCCCTGTGAAACCGCCAGTCGACCAATGCGCTAGTATATTCCGTTCTCTGGCCGACTTTTCTTCTTTACACCGTTGAATTTTATCTGGTGAATTGTTCACTGGATTATTCGATCGTCGCGAAATCGTTGTTAACTATCTTTTTGGATGTTTTCAACCACGTGGGTCGTCGAACGTCGATAACCTACACAAAGGATAAAATTATTTTCGAGAAATTGCTTACATAATAGGTTACAAAAATATAGTTATACGCTTCCACATTTATTTTGAGTCTTCTTGGTCTTCCGGGTCATGTAGTAATACTATTTTACCTCAATCGTTTTGTTGCACTATTAACTGTGTCATCGAGAGCTCACCTGTTAGTCATCTTTATTGGACGTACAAGGAGTTGCAACTTTTCTATGCACGATCTATGTTCTAACTTTTATATTATCACTATAGAAAATATATTGTCAATAATCGAATTTGACTATAATCGATGGAAATCATTTTATAGTAACACTATTAGACAAATTTCTTTATCTTAATCTATGTATTTATATTTGCTCGAGATATCGATTAGATTTATTCTTAATGTTATTTGCATTGGTGCGCTTTTCTCTTTCTTATTCATCTCAACTGACGCTAAAAATGGCATTCGATGTTTTGATTCAATTGATCGATTTGTATTATTTTCAATGTAGAAGGAAATAAGAATAAGAAAGGAAAATTTTTTTTATTCGAAAAATTTATATCTGGTGAAGAAGTATACGTTAATTGTTAAGTTTCACGATCCACCATTATGAACGTGTCCTTTGTGTCTTATCGCGAAATGAGACTTCGTGTTAGTTTATCCGTCTTCAAACAAACAATTTGTATTTTCCGTGGATTCATCTTCATAGTGATAAGCTTCCTAGAAGACTTCATGTCATTTAAAGTTAAGTTACACGATATTTTGCCCTTTAAGTGAGTTCAGATCTAAAAAATTTAAGCAAAGTTCAGCGACTCGATTGCACAATGATTTACACGAAAACCGTTAAGCCTGTTCGAATTCGCGAAAATGGTGCCAGGTCCGCCACTCTCGCATTTCCGTTTCTAATGATGATCAATCACTACACATGTTCCGTTTAGGTTAATTTACCTACAGAACATTGGATTTTATGGGAGAACAGCACCATCTGTGGGAAATGAATTACAATTTAACTTAACCTTTACAAAGACAGAAATACGCAGTAAATGTTAAGAGAATCGTCAGGTATGTGTATATTAGCAACTTTAATTAAATTATTTTTTATCAATTATGGGAAACCTCTTCCTGACAAAATTAAGGTTCACTCATACTGCCACTTTTTGTCTTTAGGGAATATTTTGCTTATATAGGTAATACTTAATGAATTCAGGGAATGTATATGTATTTGTAAAATCGAATCTCTGTCATAAGAATGCTGACGAAAGAATGTTAGAAATTTCGCAATTATTTCAGTGACTAGTTAATATTTTCAATCACGGTAATGACGTCGTGCAAAAATATTTTCTACGTTTTTATTAAAAGAAGAGTGGTTAATGAATTTCAATCGAGCGTTCCCACCCTGCATTGTTCATATAATTTCCGTGGTATCGTGGTTGCAGACGTAACAAGAGTATAACGTCGCTCGTTGCGAATGAAACTAAATGAAAATTTTTCTGAAATAATTTTACAATAAAAAGTATGTTCAAATTTAAATCAAAAATACATTTAGACTAATCGAGGGACTGCAAATCGATTCAGAACTTAGCATACCAAATTGTATAATAAACTGTGAAATTTACTAAAGTTTTCAGAGAGGAACTTTCACAATTACTTCCGCGACGTTCTGAGTCAATATCAATTTCCCGTGAGCTATTTGCGGCTTCATTCGATATCTTCTATCACGATAATGCTTCACGCTTATCGCATTGTCTAATCTGTTAAATCGTGCCGTCGTTCTGTTATCTACATTTTTTTTTCCATTGCTCTTGCTTTAAGGACTAATGCCCAATGTAATCAAGGTTTTTCAAGTCGTAATTTACGTAATTTGTTGCGTGTTGGAATCTCCAAAAATATTGCGATAATTGATTGCACATTCACTTACTCCTAGATTATACAATACTAAGAATAAAACGTAATTAATAATCATCGGTAATCTTATTAGCGAGTCTTCATGAACGATAGTCAGTGTATAAGAATTTTCCTTTCGACTGATCCATCGACCCCTCTAACGAAAATGACTGCATTCATGGTCAATGCGATAAGAGGTGACGCCTCAGTTATATAGATTAGCATACTACTCCGCTGTTTACCGTGGTGAATAATTTTTCTCAGT